GACTGGGTTTGTTTTTTTCCTTGGTTGGCCAGAGCATTTTACTGGTTCTTTCGTAGTGGGGGGAGAATAACACATAGTTTCCTGGCAACTGTTGGTGCCTAAAACAGTGCGATGCTCCCTACCCCCCCCCCCATGCCCCTCTAGAAGTTGAAATGAATGCAAATCATGCTTAAGAAAAATACACTCAATGTATTCATGTGTGTACGGTTGTTTGTATGGGGGGGGGGAATTAATAATAAATAACTTGCTCATTTTTTCCTCCTGCAGAACCTCCTTCCCCTTAACCATGAAGTATTTTGCCAAAGGTATTATTGGAGTTGGGGGAAGCAATGATTATGTGGGCACTTTTGGATTTTTGCCCCTTCTCTTGAGTTACTGATTAGCTCAGGCCTTTCACAATTGCAAAGAGCAAGCTTTGCCTGCTTCCTTTCAAGGTGCAATCCGCCCCCTTAGTAACTTGGCCAGGGCCTTAGCTCTGGGGGATGAGGGGTGAGTGGTAGCTGTGACAAATTCCTTACCCCCAAAAACTTCAAAATAGGGCTCAGGGGTTAGAGAGTATTAGCAATACCTCAGAATGGAGTAATTCAGGGTCTCAGCTACCTGGGCTAGGAGGAGCAGAAACAAGAAAGAGGAACAGGGAGAAATTGTAGGGATTTTCCCCGTAGGGACTGTTGGAAGGGGCACCCCCGTTGTTCTGGGGCTGTCCAGGGCTCTATAACTAGAGCCTCTGTCCTTTCAAGAGCCTTGTTCATGTGAGTAGACTTTATGGCCTCAATAAGTCCCCTGATTTAAGGCCACCGCTGTGTTGTCACTTGAGGGGGCTGAGGGAGTAAAAGGCACTTAAAAGGCTCTATTCCTTTTCTACTGGAAGGGAAAACTCAGGTTCTACTTTCAGGACTAGCCTGGGATGAAGGTGAGGGTGAGAGTGAGGAAGAGGATGAGGGTGGGGGCTGGGAAATGAAAAAGGCTTCATATCTGTGACTCTGGTGTTTGGAGCAATCTGGAAGAGGAGAGGAGAAATAGAGAAAGGTGTGAGCTTCATATAAGCAGCCCTAAAGGAAAATAAGAGACTTCTAGTACCAATTTCCATAATGCAAATTAGGTCTTTGTATGGCATTTAGGATTTAGGGCAATCTTATAGAAAACTCTTATCTGATCTTTTCCCAAGTTATTCTGCCTTTGCTTTCCATAAATTCACCGATTTTGCTGTAATGCAGAGTGGCCCCTGGCTTTAAGAATAGTTCGTGGGGGAGCCGAATTTCTGGGTGGGATTGAGTGACTAGAAGCCTAATTAAAGTTCCTTAACCCAAGGAAGGTTGGGCATCCTGGAGAAATCTAGTGACTCAAGGGAAGGTGACTGACAAGTCTTTCCAATTTCTATGTACTCCCACTTTCCTCCTTTTCTTAAACCAGATAGGTAGGAGACTTATACCAGTTAAGGAAGCATAATTTAGGAGAAACTAACAGGAGACACAAATGCTTGTGTATACACATGGCCATAGTATACTATATTCAAAATTAACCCTACACATTCCCAGATAGTTAAACTAGATAGACAGTAGTATTATAAGATTAAGATATACTAGATTAGAGGTTTTTAATCTTGTTCTGTGGATCCCTTTGACAGTCTGGGGAAGCCTATGAACCTCTTCTCATAATAATAGTTTTAAATAACTGTAGGAAATGCGAAATTTCAATTAGAGATTAATAATAAAGATGTAATTTTTTCCCATCAAAGTTCACAGATCCCCTGGCTGTCCCTTAAAAAGTCAATGGATCCCAGATTGACACCCCCACCCCAGGTGCATGTATGCAAATCTGTGTGGTTACTTCAGACTTTGGCACACACACACACTGTTTGGCACATACACATTTGTAGACTGAACTACAGACCCGTAGAGATACTCCCAACAGGCACAAATCTATGTACGTGTCTATTTACTTATGCACCCGAATCTACAGACAGATCGACACAGCTACAAACAGATCCACTAAGATTTGGCTCCAGACCCTATTGCGGTTCAGACCAAGCACTCTCGGCCTGGTCTTTATCCCAAACAAACGGATCAGACGAATAAACGCCCATAAATACTTCTCGGCTTAGATAAGAGCAATGAGCCGCAATTTTCTTTCATGGCCGGCTCCAGGCGCCCCTGGACCCCGGCAGTTGCGGCTGACAGCCCGACAGGCAACTGTCGAGAGTCGTGGGGAACTTAGAGATTATTGTTGTTGATGATGTTAGAATTTTCCCAGCTCTTCCTCCCTCTTCCTACAGTCCTTACAGCTCTCAGAAAACAAGCCACTACCAGCCCCAAGCTGCGAAGACCAAATCTCAATGACTTCGAATGATAATAAATTAAGAGAGAAAGGGGTGAGGGCTAGAGGGCTGCTGTCGGTGGAACTGTCCTCAATCCCAGGTGGTCTTTGCAGGGGTAGGGGGGAGGGGAGCACACAGCATCTTCCCTTGACTCTCTCCAGAAACTCAAATAGTTCTCATCACCACCAAGTAGACAAAATCAGTTTGGGTTAACTACTTATTCATTCAATTATCAGGAATCCAACTGCCCAATAGCGATGGGGAGTCAGATCGATAACTGTCTTTTGGGCTTTCCTCCCACCTCCACTTTTGCCAGATCTTTTTCTTTTGGTTTTGTTCCTTAAATCTTCTAAGTCTGATAAAAACGACGAACTGGAGCTGGGGACCACAGAACTAGAGAACTTGGGGGGTAAAGTCGGGTCTAGAAGCCTTGAAGTTCTCTGTGTTCTTTGGTATCTCCGCTGCCGCTTTTCTTCTGACCAACTTTTCCACTTACTCCACACCTTCCCTCTATCCCTCACACACAAAGTCAGCCCTGTTCCTCTTGGTTTTCTCCTGCCTTGTCTTCCTGCCACCCCCATTCCTTGCCTAAATGGTTGCTTTTACTTGGGCGAGGGTCCGGTTCCCACACAAAGCGAGACCGTGACGTGAGGCGAGCTAGAGGCTAGGCAGTTAAGCAAAGATAAGCTGAGTTCACCCTCTACTGTCTAGGCTGCTTTTCCCCGATTGTCTAGGGGTGGCCCATACTCCCGAAAAGCTGTTGTCTGTGACAAGAGTGACTCCCCCCGTGTAAATAGAATGTTTTAAAATTTATTAACTTTGCAATACTCAGCTTCTCTGGAGAGAAGGGGAGGAGGTAGGGATTTGAGACAAGAGACAGTGTCCAAAGCTTGAGCAGCATTATTTTGGGGTTGCATACCCTAAAGGGCAGAGAATTTGAGGCAGAAAGATAGACCTAGAAGGGATTTGAAATTGCTGGGGATAGATAATTGGAGCGGGTGGGGAGGGGAAATCCCAATGTATTTTTTCGCTCATTCCACGTAAGACTGGTCCAAATTACAGACCCTACCTCCCCCTTCACCAAACAAACAATCAAAACGCCAGAGGATAGATTCTCTAAAACCTATGCTAGTTCCTCCGAGAAACTAGAGGAGGAGGAGGAGATTTGGTTGCGGCAATTCCATGTCCCCTAGGAGCACGGAAGAATTTGAAGGGACAAAATCAAGTGGCGGGAAATTGTCAGCACTTTACTGACCTTTAAAAAAAAATCCTAATGCCTTGAGCTTTCTCAAAGCACTTTTTTTTTTGTAAGAATTTATGGGCCAGATATTTAACTTTCTTGGGAAGTGGGAAGGAACGAAGAAGGACAGAATCTGGAACAGAGAGATAAAATTCAGGCGACGGTCCCCTTTTTGCCTTCTCACCTTCGACTACGGAAAGGGGAAAAGGGAACACCCCTACTTCCAGTCCCCCCACCTTTGCTAAGATCTGCTAAGAGGAACAGTGAGAAACACCTCTTTGCGACTGCAACCTTCCTCTAGGGAAGAGGACGACTGTGACCCAGAGGGCATAGTGAAAACTTGAAAGGGTACGGTCCAGGATGGGGTACCCTTCGGTATTCTCCATTCCCCTCCCCAACACGCGCACCTTCTTCACCGTTTCGTCTCTCCCCCGTCCCCCACTTCCAGCAGCTGGGCTCCAACTGGCTGTTTCCACTCCTCCTGCCCCCCAACGCACAAAGAATTGGGGAAAGGCAGGAATTCGAGACTGGGGCTGGGCTGAGAGCTGGCGATCAGATAAACAGGAAAGACGATTTTTGAAACCAGGGCCGCGGTCCCCCCCCACCCCTTCCTGAGAGCGAAGCTAATTAGACAGCTGAGAACTCCGCTCCCCTCCTACCTCCATTTAAAAAAAGAAGGGGAAAAAAAGAGAATAAAACCTTTTCTCTTCAGTCCATCTCAACGGGGTACTCGAACCTTTCCTCCTCACATATTCCCCTTGGGGGAACGGGGGTCAGGAGGACTGCAGGGATTAACTTTTCTTACAGCAATTAACTTTTCCCCATGTCGTATGGTGGAAAGGAAGGGGAGGAACAGGAGCAGGAATATATTTATTTCATCATTCTGAGATAGGGGGGAGTAGTCTCTTTTCTAAGTCCCCCCCCATACCTCCTCCCCACCCCCACCTCTTAGCGGTAACAGACGCCTCTTTCGCAGCTCCTACGTAGATGGGGAAGGGTGCGTTCTGTTTCTGTTGTTGAGTGAGAGGAAAAGGGGGAGAGAGAGAGAGAGAGAGAGAGAGAGAGAGAGAGAGAGAGAGAGAGAGAGAGAGAGAGAGAGAGAGAGAGAGAGAGAGAAGGAGCAGGAGGAAGAAGAAGAAGAAGAAGAAGAAGAAGAAGAAGAAGAAGAAGAAGAAGAAGAAGAAGAAGAAGAAGAAGAAGAAGAAGAAGAAGAAGAAGAAGAAGAAGAAGAAGAAGAAGAAAAAAGAGGTTGATAGGTTTGTGCGCCGGGGTCCCTCGTGCGAGCCCTGCTCCTCATGGGTGCTATTTGGCAATTCCTGCTTCTGCTATTGGTCAGTGTTTGATCATATGGTTGTATTTCCTTCTGTCCCTCACTGGCACCTCGCCATCCCCCTTCAGCTAAAACCCAATCTCGGATATACTACTAATAGCTAAGGCGCTAGGACTATAAAACACAACAAATCATAAAAGCCCGCTCAGCAGCACCGGCCGCGCCTCCCCTCCCAATGAGTTCCTATTTTGTGAACTCCACCTTCCCAGTTACTCTGTCCAACGGACAGGAGTCGTTCCTGGGTCAGCTCCCGCTGTACTCCTCGGGCTATGCGGATCCTTTAAGACACTACCCCGCGGCGTATGGAACCGGGGCGGTCCAGGACAAGGGCTTTGCCTCTTCTTCCTACTACCCACCAACGAGCGGGGGCTACGGCCGGGCTGCCGCTTGTGACTATGGGCCAGCCAGCTTCTACAGGGAGAAAGAGTCCTCCTGCGCCCTCTCCAGCGGCGAAGAGCCTACCCCCTTCCACCCCGAGCCGAGGAAGTCCGACTGCGCCCAAGACAAAAATGTTTTCGGAGAGAGTGAGGAGCAGAAGTGTTCCACGCCTGTCTATCCCTGGATGCAGCGGATGAATTCATGCAACAGTGAGTGAGGCTTTTCAATACTTTTCTCCCTCCCCCTGACCCTTTAGCCTGTCTGGGCCTGTCTGGTCCTGTCCCTCCTCACATGAACAGGAAACAACCCGGAGCTCTCATCAAGCATTCACTACCCCCTCCCTCATAGGCCCGGGGACTCCCCCCAGAAAGGTGTGTTTTGAGGGGGGAGGGGTTCCAGGTAGGCAGAGAGTGAAGATGGGTCTCTCTCTTCTCGCAGTTGGAGTTCTAAACTTTATAGTCCTTCCCTTCCTAGACAGTCAGAGAGAGGCACTGGGGTGGGGGTGGGGAAGTCGGAAAGAAGAGAAAGGAAGATTACCACTGAGGAGGAATGGGGAAAAGGTCCCTGCTACCTGCCTTTCTCACCTCCCCCCTTCTCACGACCCCCTACTCTTACTCCCATGTAGCCGGCCCCATTAGAAATGGAATGAGTCGTGTCTTGGTCGGGAGCGGGAGGGAAGCAAGCAGTAAAAACTGAGAAAGGGAAGCTTGAGGCTAGGGATCTGTGCTCCATGGAGTGTAGAGGTAATCCTAGAGAGGAAAGGTAGAGAAGGTGTATCATAGAGATCCTGTCTCCTCATTATCAAGGGGATAAGGAGAGACCAAGAGAGACGTCTCTATCAGATCAGATTATTTGTTGTCTTTAAGTCCCAAATTGATGTCCATTAGCAGGACAGGAAAGTGTTGGACCGTTAATGCAGAGTATCACGGATCGATTCACGTCATTGTGGATTAAATGGTCAAATCTATCACCAGTTGGGAGGGGGAGAGGCTAGCCATCTGGAAGTGAAGTGGAAGAGGTTGGAGGCGCGGATGAAGTACAAACACCTGGCTAGCACATATCTAATTCTCCCCACCCCTCCCCAGCAGCCTTGTAGCCTCAGGTAGGATCCCCCCACAGCCACCAAAGCAACAAACTCCTCAAAGCGAAGTGAGGAAGAAGGAACGGAGAGCAAACCAGTGAGGCCAGGAGGTTAAAGGGTAGGTGGAGAAGAAGATGACCTGAAGAGGGAGGGGGAACTGTGTCAAGGCCAGAAGGGAAGGCAACCCTACTCCTCTGAAGTCAGGGCCCCCAGAGAGGAGTGGGAGGGAGGGGACAGAGAGAGGGTGACCGTGTCCTAATGTCTTCTTTCCACGTAACAGGTTCTTCTTTTGGGCCCAGCGGGCGGCGAGGCCGTCAGACATACACCCGCTACCAGACCCTGGAGCTGGAGAAGGAGTTCCATTACAATCGTTACCTAACCCGGAGGAGACGCATCGAGATCGCGCACGCCCTGTGCCTGACCGAGAGACAGATCAAAATCTGGTTCCAGAACAGACGGATGAAATGGAAAAAGGAGAACAAGATGCTCAACTCTTCCCAGCTCAGCCCTGAGGCAGAGGAAGAAAAGCCCACAGAGTGATCTCCAGGAAGGACCGGGATGAAGGGAGGGAGGGAGGGAAGGAAAGTGAAGAGGAATGGCAGGGGAGGTGGCTGAGGTGGGGAAAACGAAAATAAGCATCAATATTATCATATGCCTTCGTGGGAGGGAGCAGGAAGAGGGTGGGTGAGAAATTCTTAAGCACCTCAGAGAGAGGCCGGACTAATTCCATTCCCTGTGGAGCTCCCACCCTGCAGATTTCTCCCGTCAGCTGCTAGCCACTAGAGCCCCAGATAGGTTCCCACTCCACGGTTTCTTCTCTGTCTCTTACATCTCTAACCCTCCCACGCAAGCTACCTGGGGTCCCCAGTTTGTGTACTGCGGCTGAGAACCGAAAGGAATCCTCTCATGTTGTGTTTCCCGGAAGCAAAGCAAATCGCTGTTTTCCTTGTCTTGTCTTCATTTTGTACAGTGTCCCATGCACGGTTGAATTAGAGATTTGGTTTCCCTTTTGAGAGGGGAGGTCTCGGGGGGGGGCCTTCCCCTGTCCCCCAGACCTGTCGCCTCTTCCCCTCCCCCCTTAATCCACTGGAAGGAGCACAGACTACCTAAGAGGAAGAAGAAGAGCAGCCGCAGAAGAAAAAAAAGTTCTATTTTATTAATTTTTTTATGTGTTGTGTTCGTAGTTTTGTCTTAGCTCTCCGAAGTGAAATACTGCGGTAATAATAATATTATTATTAATATTAATGATAATAATAAAAATGTGAAAACTCGGCCGGTCGTTGACCCCCCCCCTTCCCACTTCTTTCTTTCCGGGGAAAAATAAGCCCCCATACAGTCTGAAGACAGTCCCAGTGGGCCGCCGGCTGGTTGCAAGTAAACCCCGATGTAACGCCCAGATTCTCCAGCGGGGTCACTCGTTTGGCTCGGATGAGGCCGATACGCTGGGCAAGACAGAATTCGGAAATTACAATTGAGACAGATATATTCAGTCCTAATGCTTGAAGCCTCCCTCCCCAATCCTCTTTTCTTGGTTACATTTCACATTAGCTCCAAGATCACCGCCGACTCTGGGATGGCATTCACAGCCTGAAGTCCGACTTTCTCTTTTCTTTTCTACTCCCCTATTTTATTTCCAACCCGACAATTGTGTTAAGGAATCCCACCCCTACCCCACCCCCATACATTATAAATCCGCGGAGCAAGGGGGAGTGATTCCCCCAAGGCTTCGAGGAAGGCTCGCCAATGCTGGGGCTACATCTTTCCAACATCTGTTCTCTTCTTTCGCTTTCTCAAACCTCGGGGCCTCTGTCTAAGACTGTCCAACCTCATCCCCCACCCGCCCGCCCTTCTCGACTTCTCGCCCCTTGTTTTTTAGTAACGAACCCAGGGCCAGGCTGAGGACCCTGAAATCTGGGCGGAGAGGATCAGGGTCCCAGGAATCAAAACAGCTATAGAGAAAGAAGCTTCGTGAGTTGAGTTCCTTTTCCCTTCCACTCTCCTGCTTCTTCCCTAGTCTGAAGAGGCACAGAGGAAACACAGAAAGGCTGGTTTCTTGCCTGCCTAGCCTTGAGGTTTGGGGTAGAGGATTTGGTTTCCGCTTTTCTCCTCAGTTCCCGGTCAGAGCAGTCAATTCATCTGCGACTTGCAAACAGGAAGCGCGAGTGAACTGGAGGAGCTTCATTATGGTTTTTCTACCCGTTTCTTAGAGCAGAGGGTGATCAAGGAAGGTGATAGGGAAGGGGAGAAGGGAAATTGTCCTCTGCTCCCTCAAAAAACACCAAGTCTGGTCTGTCACTTTTCTCCTGCCAAAGAAAACGGGAATGATGCCCATCCTTCCTTCCACCCTTCCTTCCTCCCTCCTTTCCTCCCTCTTCCTCTTCCTTCCTTCCTTCCTTCCTTCTTTCCTTCTTTCTTTCTTTCTTTCTTTCTTTCTTTCTTTCTTTCTTTCTTTCTTTCTTTCTTTCTTTCTTTCACAATCTAGGCATAAGCTGTTCCAGCTTTGGGGCATTTTGTGATCGCTGGGGCTCTTTTCAGAGTCCCTAATTATTATAATTGTGTCACTTTCAATATGGCACGTAATTACGATATGCAAGCAAGCTCTGAAAATTCCAAAACTGTCTGGAAATCTAACAAAGCATCACAGGAGTCGACAAGCTCAATTCTGCCAAAATCCCCTGGAGTGTGGGCAGATAGGAAAGAAAAGGTAGTCCTGGAGTCCTTTTTAGTCCCAAAAAAGGATTTGGAGCCTTGGAACCTCTTTTCTCTTCCAATTTACTTTCTAGAGGTTCCACCAGCGTCCATATTCTGAAATGTTCATTCTTCCATCCAAATTAACTGTCAGTTACTTATCTCATTATTCTCCTACTATCTCCTTCACAATCAACTTGACTTGCTTCTGTATTTCCCCTTTTCCCTTCCCCTGGACAGGACTAGAGTTTTGGGTAAGAATAGAGGACAGGAATCAAGTCCCAGATTTTCCTGGAAAGTAAAAGGGCTTGCTTGCTTGCTCTTTTGGAAGTCCCTTCTATAGTCTCCAAATCTTTTTCCATGTCTACCCTAACATTTAAGAGATTTCGAACCAAGACCAAGCCTGGGTTCTCCCAATCTTGGAACCTTACGGAAAATCGGTTGAAATAGTTATTTCATACACACTCTCCCTTCCCCCACTGGAAAAAGCACCAGAGTTAGGGGACTAAGAGAAAAGAATGTTAGTATTCTGAGCTTCGTATACACATTTAAAAGGAGAGATAACAGAAGATGGAGTAATGTCCCTCCTGTAGGAAGGGTCGACTCAACACCATTCTCAAATAATTGTACTTTGCCCGTCTTTTCTCTTTTCCTCAGTCTCTTTTCCACTTTCCTCAAGGGAGGGAGGCAGCCGCCATCGCGGCCTCCGCCTGCACTTCCAACTGTCGCCGGGAGGTGGCGAGCTATGCTAAGAGGCTGCTTCGAACCTTCTCCCTGTTTCTCCCCTTCGGTTTTTTTTTTTTTTTTTTTTGGAAGGCTTGCATTGAATCGGCCCTAACGATTCTCAGATCGTCATTATTTGTAACCATAGAGCATGAATTACCTCTTGAGGTCATCAGCGAGAATTTACGACTGGTCAACAAAAGCACGTGATTCCCCAACGCCCCCCCATCCCCCCTTCTTACCCCCCCCATATTTGGCCGCATACATAGCAAAACGAAGTACAGTGCATTGCTATAATTCATTAATACATCATAAATCGTGAAGCACAGGGTTATAACGACCACGATCCACAAATCAAGCCCTCCAAAATAACCCAAATGAGCTCTTACTTTGTAAACTCGTTCTCGGGGCGCTATCCAAATGGCCCGGACTATCAGTTGCTAAATTATGGCAGTAGCAGCTCTTTGAACGGTTCTTACAGGGATTCTGCTACCATGCATACCAGCTCTTACGGCTACAATTACAATGGGATGGATCTCAGCATCAACCGCTCCTCAGCCTCCTCCAGCCACTTTGGGGCGGTGGGGGAGACCTCGCGTGCCTTCCCCTCGCCCAGCCAGGAGTCCCGGTTCAGGCAGGCTTCAAGCTGCTCCCTGTCCTCTCCTGAGTCCCTGCCCTGCTCCAACAGCGACAACCACGGAGGCAAGCCCTCTGCCTCGTCCCCCTCTGACCAGGCGACCTCTGCCAGTTCCAACACCAATTTTACAGAAATAGACGAGACCAGCGCGTCCTCGGAGCCCGAAGAAGCAAGTCAGTTAAATAACAGCAGCTTAAGCCGAGCCCAGACAGAACCCATCGCGACCTCCACAGCGACAACGGAGGGACAGACTCCACAAATATTCCCCTGGATGAGGAAGCTGCACATTAGCCACGGTATATTTTTGATTTTTTTGTTTTTTCCTGGGGGGGGGGGGGGAAGAAAATCCTGTCTGTTTTCTTCTTTTACATTTGAGGAAAGATGAGATGATGATGATTTTTAAAAATATGTATGTAAATAATATATTTTAAGAGAGTGAGGTCTTCGAAGGCGTCCCTGTAGCTTGGGGGAGAGAATTAGACGAAGTTCTCATGGGGGTGGATATATTTTTAAAATTATTTTTATGATTGGGTTTCTCTTTTCTCCTGGCTATATTTTCTGGGTGTTGAGGGGTGGGGGTGATGCTGCCTATGAAATCATCATGTGCCACCCCCCCCCAATATTAGGTGAATCGTGTGGGGTGAGAAAGGCAAGGTGGGGGGAGATAAAATGGCACTATCCGGGCAAAAGTCCGGCTTTCTCCTCTTCTCCACGGGAGAGCGGAGGACGAAAATCCAAGCAAAAGGCGAGGCAGGGAGAGGGGAATGAGGCAGTAGACAAAGCGAGCTTAATTCGCCTGCAGAGATGGATACTGGAAGGTGGGGGGGGGGGCGCTGAAAAACCAGCCAGGATTTCGGCATCTGAGGGGGGGAGAGGAGTTTCAACTCATTGGTGAGCTGGGTGCAGGGCATGTTAGGGTCCCCCCCAAGATCTCTCCTCCCCTTAACCGGAATAACCTTGCAGTCTCTCTGCCCTGTTGTCTGTCTGCTCCAGATATGACCGGCCCGGATGGAAAAAGGGCACGGACCGCTTACACTCGCTACCAGACCCTGGAGTTGGAGAAAGAGTTTCACTTCAATAGGTATCTCACCCGCCGGCGGAGGATAGAGATCGCCCACGCTCTCTGCCTCTCGGAGAGGCAGATTAAGATCTGGTTTCAGAACCGCCGGATGAAATGGAAGAAAGATAACAAACTGAAGAGCATGAGTTTGGCTACGGCCGGCAGCGCCTTCCAGCCTTAAATTCTGGAGGAGCCCAAACCCACAGTCAATCCCCCTACCCCCCAGTCCCTCCACACACAGTCAGTCTCCAGGCGCCGGCCTCTTCCTTTCTGTCGCTCTCTGTGGACTTAGAACCGACTCCTAATGCCGTAGAAGCGAACGCTCCACAGCATTGCTGTGGCTTGAGATTTTCCGTTCGGTCTTAGGTCCTCCTGTTCCTTCCCTACCTTCCCACAACCTCTTTGGACTGGTTATTATTGTTATTATAATTAATAATTATTATTATTTCCCACTCCAAGCCCTCCTCTACCCCATCAGTGTTTCTGAATGTTCGTGTCCGTGATTGCTTCTCCCCCCAAAAAAGGAAAGAAACTCGCATGTTTAATGTGAATTCCCCTCCCCTTTCTGTGTTCTAACTTATTTATAAAAGGAGGATGGATGCATTTGCGTTTATAGCTTGGAATCTCTGTACTTGAACTGCAGTTGGGTGTAGGTGGGGGCCTGGGATGGGGAGAGAGACGTTCAGTGGGAACGAAAGGAAAATAATCTCAGATTAACTGCCAATATAGGGAAAAAAGATATAATATATATACATATATTTTTCTCCCCATCTCCCTTTCTCCTCTTCTCATACAGGTCTGGATCTCCCTTTTTGCCTAATCCTGGGTGGGACTGAGGCAGAGGGATAGGCCTGGGACTGGTCAGAAGGGGATATTAAGGTGCAAGTCTCAGTCTCAGCAAAAGAAGCCGGGACCTGAGACTTTGAGGAAGCCAAAAAGGGGGGGGGGGGGAGCGGGAAAGCCTGATCAAATGGGAAATCTAGGTGTGTATCAGGCCAATCTTCAAGGCCCCAGGGTGTGTAAATATTGGAATACTTAGGTTCGGATGCACCCTCTCCCCAGTCCTCCTGCCCCCAAGACCATTTGTAGTCAGCCGAGTGGATGCTGTGTTCTGTGTGAAATCTGTCTTTGCCGGACCGTCTCAGTGATACGCTTTTTGTATTTGTTTGTAGCTTTTCTTGAAGTCGAATAAACATCTCTCCTACTCCACCTCCCTCATCCTGGTCTTTTCTTGTCTGGGCCTCTCTCATCGGCTCCAGCAAAACAAAAACAAAAACCACCAAAACGGTCCCCAAATGCTTTCTCTTGGTTTGGTGTGAGAAGGGCCCTTTCCCTTCTGCTCCATCCCTGATCCCCAACACTGTCCCCCACTTATCGATGCTCAGTCCCACTCTCTTCCTTCTCTCTGTCTTATGCTGAAGGATAGATTTATTCCCTGCTTGACTACTGAAAGGCCCCACAAGGAACAAAAAACAACTGGAAAGAATGAAGGCCAGGCCAGTGCCCACTCTTGGCTCTTTCACTAACACTAGTATCCAAAAAGTCATCTTTGAATATCCTCAGGGAAGTCTACTTAGGCCCAAATCCTCTCGCTTGAGGCCCTAATCCTTTTTGGGGTTGGCTTGGGAAAAGGGGTAACAATTGTGGTAGAATATGAGCCACCAAATCCCATTACCATTTACCACCCGCCAAATGAAATTCGGTTCCATTTAAATGGTGTCCTCTTCGTTGTTCCCCATCTCTCCTACCCTCATCCTAACCCTCTTTGTCTCTGTCTCTGTCTCTGTCTCTCTCTTTTTCTGTGTGTGTGTCTCTCTTTCTCTGTGTCTCTGTGTCTCTCTCTGTGTCTCTCTCTGTCTCTCTCTCTCCCCTCCCCACCAGGGTACCTTAGCGAACCTTCGCTCCTGATGAGTAGGGGGTTCCCCTCTTATTCCTCCCATACCCCGCCTCAGCCTTGGCTGGCCCAGAGCCAGGGCGTCTCAAGCTTCCAAAAGCCAGCCTCCGCCCGCCGCAAGTAAAGTCGAGTTAGATCACTTACCCAGCTCAATCTCTCCCTTCTTAGCCAAACTTCTTACAGGACTTGGGGGGAGGGGGAGGGAGAGCTAGGGAGGCGACCGGTCGAGAGTCCAGGAGAGTCTGTCCGCCCCCCTTTTCCCTCCCCCCCTTTATTTTTTTTCCTTTATCGTTAGCAAACTATCCCAAAAGTCGCTATGACATTTAGATGTCAAATGGATAGGGGTTTTATCTCGAAGTTAGATCGTAAAAATCGCCGAGAAGTCAGACAGATACCCCTCACTGGCTCGAGAAAGTCACGTGAGGTCCATAAAGTTAGTTTTATGGTTTTGGGGAGTTGACACCGCGCGGTATATTTCACATTCTCGAGAATGTAAGTGACACTTTAACTGCTCGCAGTGGCGGGGAAGGGGGCAGAGGTAGGTGAGCTCTCTCCCAGCTGAGAGGAGCCGAGGGCCCGGCCTCAGCAGCAGCAAAGGCGGCGGCGGCAGCCGAGGGAGGCCCGAGGCCCAGCGTTCGCCAAAGTAAGTCCAGTTCCTTTCCCCCTCTCCCTGGTGTTTTAGGGCAACAGGGGCTTGGGGGTTGGATGAGAAGATGGTGGGGGAAGGGTAGCTTTCACGGCTGTCGAGCGTTATTGCGGGGCAGTTTGGCCTTGTTCTGCCCCCTCTCCTAACTGGCAGGCTAGCCAGAGGAAGGAGGTGGCCTCTGCGAAGGTCCTAAATCTGGGGCGTTGTCGATTGTTTGTTTGGGGGAGTGTTTCTCGAGAGTTTGGGGGGAGCTTTTCCAGCGCCACGTCAACTTTGAGGCTGAGGCACCCGGTCAGCTTTTGGATAGGGCCAGAACCTACAAAGTTCCCTCAAACTTGGGGAGCAAGTTCGAATGAGATTGACGTTGGAAGACTCTGGCCTGGGGGTTGTAGCAAGTTTATGTGCTAGAAATTTGGGGCCACTCCTCTTCCTCAAAGTAAAGGAACTTGTGTAGTTCGTCCGCCTAGGGGTATGGGAAGATGAAAGTTGTCTCCACTATCCTTACCCCAGATGAATGATCAGGGAGAAGATATTCTATCTATATGGAGTTCCGCAGCAACTTGGCCCTGGGCGCTATTAAACACTGGTTTCGTATGAGTCAACTCTCAGCCATAGAATTCTACTTCTGCTCCTTTAGGGTTACTCCCCGTGACTTTTCAGGGTTGGAAGCAGACCCCTCTGGTCCTCAAGTGCAGTGGGACTGGAGAGGAGGAAAATTCGAGGGAAAGGAAAACCTGTCCAACTGGGGTGAACCTGCCCAACCGTACTCTTACCTCGGACTGCTCTAAATAGGCATAGGAGGCTGCTTTTTAGTTTGGAGGCCTGGGAGAAATGAAAAAAACTCTCTGAAAGTCTTTCAAGGGAAGTGAATATGATTCTCTAAAGAAGGAAAGGCTTAACAGTTAGGAGAGAAAAATCAGGCGAGATGTTTCCCTCTTCTCTCTGTTCCCTTCTTTTCTAACTCTTCTCACCCAAGAGGTCGTTTTATTTTTCTGCCGGGGAGTGGGAGCATAGAAGAGCTCTGAGATTTTAATTTCTTATTCAAGAATGTTCCAAAGGACAGTTTTCTTTACCTGGAGGCCTGAAGGCCTTCCCTCAGTTCTCCTGTTCCCCAAAGCAACCCAACATCCACCTACTCCTCACCCTATCATTGCGCTGCTGTTTCAAGATTCAATCACCCAGCCTTCTCTCTGGTGATGGGGTGGAAGGACTCTAGTTATCTGAGTTCTCTGAGATGCTCAAACTCCTCTGACAAGGAAGCAGGTCCTATCTCTTATTTCCTACCTAAAATAATATTCTCCTTCCTCACCTTCCCTCCATTTCTCTTTCGTTCTCTCCCTGGTTTCCACAAATGAGAAGTTGTTAAACCTTTGCATGGAAAAAAGAAAAATGGAAGGTAGGACAGGAATGGGTTTTGAGGTGGTTGTAGTCTGGATTCTCATCTCCCAATTCAAAGAAAAATCTCTCCCAAAACACATTGATCTCTGTGCAGGAAAAGCAGGATCACAGACAATTATATTTTAAAATAATTAACCCTAACTCCTACTTCCATTATGACCTTTTTACCACTACCATTTAACTTCCAAATTTTTCTGAATATCTGCCTTTTTTTTTAAGATACCCTTTTGCAATCTCTCCCCTTCCCAAACGAAAAAATCAGAGCATTTGGGGGAAAAACCTAGAAAAATGGAAATGAAGACTCCCCCACCCCCATCTAGCTGACTGAGCCTCTCGGAAGAATACTGATTTCTTGTGTCCACACCACACCCCCAATACTGTCCCAGAAAACATGCCCTCTTTATAATGCTCCCTATTATCCATCCCTGCCAGAGGTTTCTCGTGAGCCACAAGACAGAGAGCCTGAGGCCTGCACTGGAGATAATTTTTTCTCCCAAACATAAGTTCTGCAAACTCTGATAAAGAGCTGTTGAGCAGGGCATCCCAGGGACATCTGCTGGAGATATCAGGACAGATTTCCCGGTATGGTCAAGAGCAGCTCAGTATGAGACTGCCTCCTTCCTTCTGTGAGGTCCAGATAGAGATCAATAATATCATGCTCTCCTTTCAATCTCTCAGAAGATTCTTCTAAAGCTCTTTTATAGCTATGTCTTTCCTTCTTTCTCCATTTTTTCCTTACATCTTAATCCTACATTATGTAGTAAGCCAGTGCCCTTCTTTGCTTCCCTCACCCAAATTAGGGTGTGCTTTAAGAGAGAGAGGAGGTATTTAAGTTAAGAGCTGTTCACTGAGATTGACCCTACTGCAGGCCAGGTGCCCCCACCTTCCCCCAAAGAAGTTTTTCTAAAACAGGGGTGGGAAATCTGTGGCCTCAAAGCCACATGTGGCCTTCTAGGTCCTCATGTTCGGCCTTTTGATGGAGTCCAAGTTTTACAGAACAAACCCTTTTATTGAGGGGATTTGTTTTGTGAAGTTTGGATTCAGTCAAAGGGCTGCACTTGAGGACCTAAAGGGCCCCATGTGGCCTCGAGGGCAGAGGTTTGTCTCTAGATTGTTGCCTTGCTCCCCTTTTGGTGTTCTCCTGGCCTCTCATCCTTTTTTCATTTTCTTTTCCATTTCCTCTTTAGGTTGGGCCTCTTCTCTTGGTCCAGGCCTAGAACTCTCTAGCTTACTTTGTGCAGCGGAGGGTCTAACTCTCCTCTCAAGTGACTTTATTTTAGGGGTCAGGATTCATTACCTTTCCTAGAGGAGAAGGAATAAGAGGAGAAGCAAACCAGATACTAAGGTTTAATTTTCCTTTTGAGTTCATCCTAAGACTCAGCCTTCAACAGTTCCAATTTTGCTCTTTTGATTTTGTTTTATTTATTTCTTTCATTGGTATAGGAGGGGAAGTAAGAAGTATAAACAGGAAAGAGAACTCCTGAACATAGTTTGGATATGGCCCATATTTTATTGTTTCCTCTCCTTAATGGAAAACAGAGGACACTACCTTTCAGTGACTGAAGGACACAGTAGAAACCTTCAAATAGTTCCTAACAAAGAGTTTGAAGGACATGGCATGACTCCCATAGAAACACCTTTTTTCCCCCTATTTTCTTCTCTCATCTCCTTCTTCTTTATTCCTTTGGGTCTGAATTTTTGTCCGAGGAAGGAAGCTGGAGATTCTCCAAGGGGGGCAGATTCCAACTGAGGGAGACTATATGGTCCAGCCCTAACCTCCATCCAGCTGAAACCCTTTCTTGCTGGAGGAGGAAGGAGGTAGAGGGAATGAAAGAATGGGGAGCCCTGAACTTTTGTTGAATAAACTGGCCTTCCTTGGGGAGGTTGGGCTTCATGTCTTCAGTCTAGTAAACAGAAAAGGGGAGACAGGGATAAGAGACTTGGGCTCTTTGGGCAGGATTTTCCTTCCCCTCTTATTTCTTGGTATAATAAAATTATTAGGCCTCAGGAATCTTTCTATTGAGGTGTTTATCGATTGGTGAATCACTGTTACACATCTGTATTAATTAAGCTAGATTTGAGCCTGGAATTGGAGAGGTTTAGGGTGAGAAGTCCAAGGACCTCAAGGGGAATTAGTTCTTCCTAATACCCCTAAAGATTTAAAGGCACTATATTGGGTCCCCACAATAATGGAGCTAACTCACCCTAAAACTCTGAATGCCACCTCCCCCCCACTCTAGGTGTCAGCTGCAGCCTGTGCACCACATAAGC